CCTCTTTATAACATGTCTGAAGCATGAGAGACAAAGTCTTGCCATCCTAGCTTCTAAGGACTATTCTGGCTGTACTTCTAACACAGATTTGTTTGTTCTTCTGGAAGTCCAAGGCACTTTTAATAGTCTTCTCGAACACCATAACTCAAATGCATCAATTTTCCTACAGTTTTTATTTATTTGTTCTCCAACTTTCACATGCATTATCAGGCTATTGAAAGAGCTCTGGTAGCATAGTGGTTACGAGTTGGGCTGGTAACCTCAAGGTCAGCAGTTGGAAACTGCCAGCTGTTCTGCAGAGAAAGATGAGGCTTTCTGCTCTTGCAAAGATTTATAGCCCTGGAACCCTTACACAGGGTTGCTAGGAGTCAGAGCCAACTCCACGCCACACAGCCACCACCATCAGGCTATTGAAAATGCTATGGCTTGGGTCAGGCACACCGTAGTCCTCAAACTGACATCTTTGTTCTTGTCAGTGTAGGATTTGTCTTGTGCAGATTTATCTAGTGCAATACGTGATTTAATTTCTTGACTGCTGCTTCCATGAGTGTTGATCCTGTATCCAAGCAAAATGAAGTCTTTGATAACTTCAGTCTTTTCTCCATTTTATCATGCTGTTATTTATTAGTCCAATTCTGAGGATTTTTGTTTTATTTACGTATTCTTGCAACCCATACTGCAGGCTATAGGCTATGGTCTTTGATCTTCATTAGTAAGTATTTTAAGTCTTCTTTTGCTTTCAGCAAACAAATCATCTGCATATTACAGGTTGTTATGAGGCCACATTCTTCTTCATATAATGTAATTTCTCAGATTATTTGCCCAACATACAGATTGAATGAGTATAGTGAAAGAATACAGCCCTGGCACAAACCTTTCCTGATTTTAAACCTGATTCAGTGTTCCTTTCTTCTGTTCAAATGACTGCCTCTTGGTCTATGTACAGGTTTCTCATGAGCACAATTAAGTGTTCTGGAATATCCATTCTCCTCAATGTTGTCCATAGCTGGTCATGATCCACATGATTTCATTGTATGAGTGTACCATATTTTATGGAGTCCTTTGTGTAGCACTGTAGAATAAGCACTGGACCTCAAGGTAAGTTTGAATTGTAATGTCAGCGGTTCAAACTCACCAACCACTCCTTGGAAACACTATACAAGATTGCTATGAGTCAGAACCAATTCGACAGCACTTAACAATTTTATGGAACCAGTCCCCTAGTGATGAACATAAAGGTTGGTTCCTGTACTTATTGCAAACTTGTGTGCTGTCAAGTTGGTTGTGACTCATAGCAACCCTGTATAGGGTTTCTGAGGCTATAAATCTTTATGGGAGTAGATTGTCTTATCTTTTTCCAGAGGAGCAGCCTGTGGTTTCAAACTGCTTACCTTAAGGTTAGCAGCCCAACATATAACCTACTATGTCACCAGGGTTTCCATTCATTACAAACTACTATAGTTAAAAAAAATCACATACACATATATACATACACATGCATAGTCATACCCCCAGAACCTGTACACACTCATTTATTTTGCATATATGCATAGAAGATAACTCCTAAAAATGACTTTACCGGGTCAAGGTGATTTGCATTGGTATAAATATAAATTTCTTTCCATAGGAATTGTATTCCTTTCCATGAACACTCTAGCTTACACAGTGTTATCAAACTTTATGATAACACTCTAGGTGAAAAATGGTATCTTAGTTTTTTTGGGTTTGTTTATTTGTTTTTCATCTTTTTTATTGTAAATATACATGTAACAAAACATCTGTCATGTCAGGAATCTTCGCATACACAGTTCAGTGACAGTGTAATTTTAATTTCTATTTATGTTGAAGCACTATTTGTATTCCCTTCTGTGGGAACTGTTTTCTACTCGGTTGGCTGGTCTTTTGTAATAGGAATGGGATTTTTAAAAAGCATTTTGTCATAGATATTTTTAAACATACACAAAAATAAAATAACATAATGAGCCCTCACCTGTTGGTTTGCCAGCTGCAACAGCTAACAATATTCATACCACCATCTATTTTCCCTTCCTTGAGGTAAAGCAAATCCCAGATTGTACAGCATTTTATCTGTAAATGCTTTTGTATCAGTGTTTTGCTAAAAGATAATGACCCTTTATTTTTTAAAAAAGCATGAGGACAGTACAACTGTCACACCTAAAATAGTTAACAAAAAGAATAGGGTGTGTTCCCCCCCCCTCCAGTGTTTATAAACAGAGCTAAAAGAATGTTCTGCTTCAGTGCCCAGCTGACAGCTGCCACGCCCATCTGCTTCCGGCCACATAGAATCAGCCAGTCCCCTGGGTCTTAAAGACACCTGCTCTGTGGTTCTTATGGGACTGTCCCCATCATCTGCTCTTAGATTCAACTTCTGTGGCATCAGGCACAAGTCTTATATGCCATTATTTCATTTGAGCCTTGGTAGGGGCCTGATATATAATTATTACTGTTATTTCCTCCATTTTATTATTGTGAATACTGCAGCTCTGGCCTCACTTAGGGATGTCAGCCCTGTTTTCTTTGTTCCAGGATCACTGCCTATTTCAGTTGATCAATTCCCGCAAATGCTACCCCTACCCTCATCTCCATAGTCTCTTTCGCTGTACACACCTACACTTGTCTCGTCTGTTCTAGGTGTGTTCCGGGGTGGTCATGACATCCTGGTGCGTTCCCGACTGCTGCTTTTGGACACAGTGACAATGCAGGTGACAGCCAGAAGCTCAGAAGAGCTGCCAGTAGACATCATCTTGGCATCTGTGGGATAAGGGGCCAGCCTGTAGAGGTCCTACTCCTAACCTTTTCCCCCTACACTACACAGAAGTCTGTGAGCCCAGTGGAAATTCCTTCACAACTTCTGTATTCAGAAACAATTAAGGATTATTGAAGTTTTGTTTTGTTTTTTTAAGATTCTCATACATACCACATCCCACCCCCAAGAATGCCAGGAAATAATTTATTTTTTTAATAGGGATGACTTTAGCTTGTCCTAGACCTGTGGCCCTGCCTGCAGGGGGAAGGTATTACAAATGATACATTGTAAATGAATAAAATGCTCACACTTCCTCTTGAATTTCTCTATCCTGAAGAAACCATCCTATCTCTATAAATAAATCAGCATGTATTTATTGAAAGACTGCTTCTTCTACAGACTGGTGTTTAGGAGCTCCCCTTCGCTTCCCCACCTTCAACTCCAGTACCTACAAAGGATATATATACCCTTTACACTCACAGTGCCATAGGGCTTTGGCTATTGTACTTAGTGTACCATATTTTATGAAGTCCTTGTGTAGCACTGTAGGATAAGCACTGGACCTCAAAGTCAGTTTGAATTGCAAAGCCCTGTCCCACCCATCATCGTCCCCAGTACCACGCCCAGGGACAGCAGAAAAACAAGACGCTGAGGACAAAAACCAACAAGCATTGAGTTCAGCTCTTATGCATGGACTCTCACCACCACCTTCCAATTACAGATGACAAATGGAGGCTCTATAGGGTTTGGATAATGTACCTGAGTGCTAATTAGCATCAAACTTCAAGGTTTGCACTGGGGTTCAGTCCAGGCCAGAAAACGAACAGAAATCAGCAGAGAAGAGCATGCTCATGGTTGTAGATGCAGAAATCCCTGTGGGGGTCTCATGGAGCAGGCTCAGGGAGTTGGGTAGGTTTTGACGTTTAAATAAGTATGTGGGGGTGGGGGAGGATCCTGGTGAGTCCATCTCATTCTGGTGCCCACCAAGAAAATGTGAAAGTCATTTGGGTGATTCACCGACGTTTTCCGGGCAGCTCCATTTTCTGCCCCAAAGTATGAAGCAGCAGGACTGCAGGGTTAGGAAAACGGAATTTGCTCCTCAACGACCCGGTGTCCTGGACCTATTGGTTCCCCCACGCAGGCTAAGTGACGGACCTATGGCCTCTGCTCTAGGGGGGCCCTCCCATCCCCGGCCCGGAGTTTCCACCAAAGAGGTGGACTAGCCCCTGCAGGGGAACGAGCGAACACCGAGAGCAGCCGAATCAAATCAGAAATCAATTACACTCGTCTCCCAGGAAACTTCCTTAAGACTCGGATTAAGGGCGCCTGCCTAGCCAGGTTGCCGAGGGAAAGGGCCCGCGAGCCCGGAAATCACGCAGCAACGTGCTACCACTTAGGGGAGGGACTGACCTCTGGGGGCGTGGCCTACGCCGCGCGCGGTTCAGCACGTCGGTGGTCCGAACGGAGAAGCGGTCCTGCCACTGGACTGAAGAGAGGTGACAGGCTACGCGGGGCTGCCGGAGCGGGAGTGAGGCGACCAGGGCGGTCAGTCAAAGTGAGGGAGGGCGGAAACCGGAGGGGAGGTCGGTCGAGGACAGGTGGCGGGGCCACCTGCCTCCTCAGCCGCTAACGCGGGTAGTATAAACAGCTGCCTCCCCTTCCTGCGGTGCCCCACTCGGAAGCCCCCTCAGAAAGTTGAGGAACCTCAACTCTGGCCTCTGGAGGGTCTCTGGGGCAGGCCTGAGGGGGGACCTGCAAAGAGGACCCACGGATGGGCAGGAAAGAGGCTGAGTGCTCTCTCCAAGGATCACCTTCCTCGCTGCCCTGGTTGCCATTCTCTAGGTTCCCCTGGGATGCCTGGGGAGAAAAGGGAAGGAGTTGGGGGGCTAGACGACGGGACCAGAAGTGACCACAGAGACCTAATTTTTTGCCTTTCTTGGCTGAACCATTAAACCAAAGAAAGAAAGCTCCTTGGAGAAGTGTAAACAAGTATTTATGGTGCATCCTTTAATTTAATTTAATGTTTTGCACGATCCTAGACACTGGGGTCTAGTAGTGAACAAAACAGTCATAATCTTTGTCCTGCTGGAACTCCTTGGGGGAAACTTAGGCAGATGGTTGTTTAGCATTGACAGTTGGTGATCTGGGGTGCTTTGGGACTCCTAAGAGGATTGTGAACAAAGGACTAAAACCTAATACTCATTTGCTATACCAACTTTCCCTCCTGATTTGTGGTTTACAGGTTGAGAGGCAGTGTTGGAGATGTGTGGCAGAACATCCTGTCACCTCCCTATAGATGTTCTTACAAGAGCCTGTGCCTACTGTGACAGGCAAGGCCAACAGCAACTTCCCAAGTGGAGGGACCCGGACAAGTATAGCCCCTCTTACAACAAGAGCCCTCAGTCCAACAGCCCAGTGCTGCTCTCTCGACTGCACTATGAGAAGGTAACCACTCTATCTGTCTCAGACCAGCTTCTGGCTCAGCATTCTGGCCAGCCATTCCTATTAGTTGGATGTGTGCTAAGGCCTCTGGGATGACATTAAACACCAGCTATTACTGCTCAAAGGAGCTCTGGTAGCATAGTGGTTATGAATCGGGCTGCTAATATCACAGTTCGAAACTACCAGCTGTTCCGTGGGAGAAAGATGAGGCTCTCTGCTCCCATAAAAATGTACAGCCTTGGAAATCCTGTACAGGCTTGCTATGAATCGGAACCGACTTCACGGCACATAACAACAACAACAACATTACTACTCAAGGAGTCCTGATGTGGTGCTGTAGGTTAATGCTTCAGACAGCAAAGCTGTTTGAACTGCAAGGTCGGTGGTTCAAGTTCACCAGCTTCTCCTCAGAAACCCTATACAGGGTTGCTGTGGGTCGACAGCACTTAAAAACAACAACATTACTACTCAAAATGCAGAGAAACAGCTATAAATATCATTAAACAGCTGTAAACATCCATTAAGGTGGAGGGTCAGAGAAAAAGAGGAAGACCCCCCCCAGCAAGATAGATTGGCAAAGTGGCAGCATCAGTGGGCTCAAGCGTGACAACAATTGTGAGGTTGTCCCAGGACCGGGCAGTGTTTTGTTCTGTTGTGCATAAGGTCGCTATGAGTCGGTACCAATGGCACCTAACAACAACATTATTGATCTGGTCTGGTCCCCGCTTGACATCCTCTCTGGGCCTCAATGAAAGAAGTCTTGTAGCCTTAGGATAATTTAGGCTCAATTTTAAGTGTCTTTTCTATAAAAGACCATAATGCATGCCAAATTTACATGAGCCTTGTATTTGAATACATTTTTTAGAAGATGGCAGCTTTTGGTCCTCACCAATCATCAGTTATCTGAGTATCTTAAAAAACAACAACAGTCAAATCTCTTACGAGGCCAGCTAAATCAGAATCTCCTGGGCTGGGGTTAAGTTAAAGTCAGTTTAACCAGAAACATCTCAGATAATCTTGAATGTTAAAAGTTTCTTTTGTTTTAATCTTTTATGTTTGTCTCTTACTGAAGCTAGGAAAAGAGGTACATGATTTGGTTATTTGAAGTTTGATTGTGTTTATACTTTGAAAAAGTTCTTAGAAAAATGTAACTGAAAAATAATGAAAGACATTTCAGTGCTGGAGTGACCAATAATTCACTGTCATGTTTTAGTTCTTTTCCTTATTCTTGAAGTGTGTCTAATATTTAATAAAGGCGCTTCATCCCAGAAGTTAATAGTTTTTCCATGTCTTGACTACTTTAAATACCCTTAGATATATTTTTTTAACTCACTATTATTTCTCTTATGTATTTTGGTTCTGGTTGACCCATAATGGTCAAATCATTTTATAAATTTGATTGTGCTTCTGGTACATACTCTTGTGATATAATATGCTAGTTAAGAAAGTCTAATTTCTATATTACAGAGATCACATTAATTCTGAAATAAACAGAACAAATATTTCTTTGGTTGAATGAAGCAGTTTACATTGAGTCATTTTCAGAGGATGTATACTTCCCTATTGAAACTAAAAAAAAAATAATTTTTTTTTTCAGTGAGAAAGAAATCAAGATAAAATAAATATCATGTTTAGAGAAAGATGTAATTTGGTATGAGTAGAGAAAGGGACTAAATGTGTGAACCTACTCTTTTTTTTTAACTTGGTTTTCTTTAGAATTATAAGATGAATATTAGCTGGCAAAAAAAATTGTTCCTAACAGATGTAAAGACAAGTGCAGAAAGATTGTGACTTGTTCTTGTCAGTGGGGGACAATATTGGGGCTCAGACCCAGACAGCTGTCCCCATTCCAGAGAATGCTTCCTAGAACTAGGAACGGGAGAGGTAGAGCCCCTAGACAACACTGCCTTCTTTTTGGGTCGGTGGTATGCATTTGTTGATGGATGTATTGTTTAATTTTATTAAGATTGCTCGGGCTTCCTATTTTCGATAAATATCTGAGGTTTCTTTTTCCCCTGACTTGTAAATTATCAAGCAAAATTAGAACCATTTCAACAATGCATTAGTCCAAATCAACCACCAGCATTAACGTATAACCTGCAACATTTGCATTTGAAACCACTAAATTGCAAATTATTTCCTGTTTCATGTTTGTTTTTACCCCAGTGCAACCAGCTGTCTGGTCAAAAGTCCAGAAAAAGTAGAGAAAAAGATGACTAATACTGATCACTATTTCAGTATTTTAACTTCTCAGATACTTTCTATTCATTGTACCCGATAGGGGGCAGCCTTTCTTTTAGGTTTGGTTTACAGTTGTTCAGTCAACACATTCAAGTGTTAGAGTTAAAGGTGATTGTATTTGTGAGAGCAGGATCTCTCAAACCTCAGCAATATTGACAATTTGGGCAGAATAAGTCTTTGTTGTGGGGAGCTGTCTTGTGCTTTCTAAGTTATTTAGCAGCATTTCTGCCTTCGACTCAGTAGATGCCAGTAACAATCAGGTCCTTTAAACCAAAAATATCTCCTGATGATGTCATGCCCCTTGTTGTTGTGTTTGTTGTTGTTAGGGGCTACTGAATCAGTTTAGATTCATAGTAACAGAAACACTACTAGATCTTGCACCATCCTCCCAACTGTTACATTTGATCCCATTGTTGCTGCCACTGTGTCAGTCAATCTTGTTGGGTCAGGGGTCTTCCACTATTTCGCTGACCCTCCATGTTACCAAGCATGGTGTCCTTCTCCAGGGACTGCTCCCTAAGTCCCACCATGCTGGCTTCTGACTGCACTTAAACCAAGACGGATTTGTTTGTTCTTCTAGCAGTCCATGATATTTTTAATATTCATAACTCAAATGCATCAATTCTTCAAGGATCTTCCTTATTTATTGTCCAACTTTCTCATGCATATGAGGCTATTGAAAATACCATGACTTGGGACAGGCACACCTAAATAGTCAAACTGATTTCTTTCCTCTTGAACGCTTTAAAGAAGTGGGTTGCAGCAGATTTGCCTAATGTAATATGTCATTTGATTTCTTGACTGCTACTTTCAAAAACATTGATTGTGAATCCAAGCAACATGAAGTCTGACAACTTCAATCTTTTTCCATTTTTTATGATATTATTTATTGGTCCAGTTGTGAAGATTTTTGTTTTCCTTACACTGATATGCAATGCACACTGAAGGCTGTAGTCTTTGATATTCCTCAATCCTGTATCATTTGCATGCTGCAGGTTGTTAATAAGTCTTCCTCCAGTCCTAATGCCACGTTCTTCATATAATCCAGTTTCTTGGATGGTTTGCCCAACATACAGATTGACTAAGTATGCAACAAGCCCCTAAGGAGTGAGACATTTGCCTCCTGTTGAGAACCATAGGTTCTTGCAAATTTCTGATGAGTGATTATTGCAGTTGACCATTATATAGTGATATTTCTTCTCATTTATGTTTTTTTAGAGAGGAGGGATTCCTGGAGAGGGGATTTACAAAACTCTTTTCATCCATTTGCTCTCTTCTTCCTATCCCTGATGAGGTTAACACTTCCATTTATTTTCTGTCCCTTCTCATTTCTTCTAGGTCCTTTTTTCTCTTAGTTTTCTTACACTTTAGTTTCATTCTTCATGCCTCCGGGCATACAATAAACCTAGACTGTATCGATTTTTGGACTCCTGGTGTGGTTCTGTAGGATAAGCACTGGGCTGCAAGATCTGTTCAAACTACAAGGTCAGCGGTTCAACCTCACTAGCCATTCTTCGGAAACTCTACGCAAGGTCACTATAAGTCAGAACTGATTGGATAGCACTTAACAACAACAATATATCTGTTTTTAAGAACAAGATAAAAGGCAAGATCTGGAGGAAGCTGGACACAATCCTACCAGTAGCACTGTGGAGAGATTTCCTTCACTCAGAGAAGCCCTTCTGAGAGAGTACTAGTACTAAAGATTTCGTTCTTGAAATTCAGCCCTTTTGTGACTTTTCTGGTTCTATTTTTATTTCTCTGGGTGCTTTTTCTTTCTTTTCTTTTCTTTTTTTTAATGTAGTACCTATTTTGTTACAACAAGATTTTAACAAAGGATTTCATTTTCAAGTATGAAGTATTTCAGGGAGTAGGTAGACTCTAAGCTGATAACAGTGGCCAACGTTACCTTTTTATCTTTTCTAAGAAACTAGGCTCACATCAGTCTTTCTTGTTGTTAGGTGCCATCAAGTCGGTACCGACTCATAGTGACCTTATGCACAGCAGAACGAAAAACTGCCCGATCCTGGGCCAACCTCGCTACTGTTGCCACGCTTGAGCCCATTGATGCTTCCACTTTGCCAATCTACCTTGCTGAGGGTCTTCCTTTAGGAGGTTTGAAATGATCACTTTAAGAAAAAATTGAAATATCTTAACAGCCATAGCTTTGAATTTACCTGATAGCAAAATCTTTAAAACCAGCCACGAATATGCTACTCACCTACATGTTATTCAAGAAGAGAAAAATATGTCAGTGTACTGTCAAGAATACTGAAATGTTTGCAATTTTCTCTTGTCTTCAAAACGATTACTAAATTGCAATTCATTATTTTATTTTTCTAGTCTGGCTTCTCATTTGTATTAATGAAGGTGATGGCACAGACTTTAACTGTTCGGAATATCCTGATTTATTGTTCATGTGCTTCCTAGGTTGGATTCTTGTTGTTAGGTGCCATCGAGTCAGTACCAACTCATAGCCACTTTATGCACAGCAGAACGGAACACTGCCCAATCCTCAACCAACCTCACTACTGTTGCCATACTTGAGTCCATCGATGCTGCCACTTGGCCAATCCATCTCGTTGGGGGTCTTCCTCTTTTTCTCTGACCCTCCACCTTACCAAACATGATATCCTTCTCCAGTGACTCATACCCTATAAACTCCTTACGCTTCTCTTGTATCCTAACTGAACATTGTCACTGCTTCTCTTTCATCCTCCCAAGTATGTAGCCTAAAAAGGAAGAAAGGTGGGATGTCAGCTTCTCCCCAGGCCACAGCTTTTGCTCGCCGTTTCAGACACGGTCAGAAATGATCTGTCTTCTCCACTGCATACATCCATTCAGACACATGCAACAGCATAGAGAACAGCTAAGCCCATGTCTTCGAATACTTCCACATCCTACAACAGGCATGCTTACAATCAGCTCAAAAGTGCTAAAAGGCCCTCAAAAAATTAGGAATCATATCATTCCTAGTATAAAACAATTCAGAAACATCCAGTTCCAAAGCACACTGAGCACACTGTTCATTCCAACAAGAAGTCTCCAAAGAGGTAATTAATTACACTATGGTCCTTAAACTAAATCCATCCTATAGCTTGTTTACATAATTAAAGGTTTGTAGAACTACAACTGTGCTTAATTTTTTATGTATTCTCTGATTGCTCTCATGCTACAGGAGCAGAAATTCAGCTGCTTTAGTAGTTGCAACAATGACTGTATAGACTGTAAATCTTTACGGGAGCAGAAAGCCTTATCTTTCTCCCGCTGAACCACTGGTAGTTTCAAACTGCTGACCTTGAGATTAGTAGCCCAACTTTTAACCACTATGCTACCAGAGCTCCTTCCTCTCCATTTGTTGTTGTTAAGTGCTGTCGTGTCAGTTCTGACCCAGAGCAACCCTGTGTAAGGTTTCCAAGTAGTGGTTGGTGAGCTTGAACCTCCAACCTTGTGGTTCAAGCCAACTTTGCAGTCCAGCGCATTAGCTCACAGCGCCACACCAGGACTCCATCCTCTCCATGTTGTTGTTGTTAAGTGCCGTTGAGTCGGTTCTGGCCCATAGCGACCCTGTACAGGGTTTCCGAGGCTGTAAATCTTTACAGGAGCAGAAAACCTCATCTTTCTCCTGTGGAACAGCTGGTGGTTTCAAACTGCTAACTAGCGGTTCGCAGCCGGATTCGTAAACCGCTATGCTACCAGAGCGCCTTCTTCCTCTCCATAGTAGATGCTAATTGATAATTTACATGAGCTAAACCTTTTTGTATTCTCCACCTAACCCAAGCCGAATAGCCTGCATTCTAATAAATATCACATAATGATAAATCACTAAAATTGTATCCAAGTAGAATTTTTTTCCTTTTAATGGTTCCTCTATTCTTTATATTTTAATTACTAATAGTAATATAATGCATGTGCTAAGTTTGGTTTTATAAATTTCATTATGATCTCACTGGATCTTCCCATCGTCTATGGCAGAATGCAGACTCATCTGAGCGTATCATTACTCCCATGCGATGGGGTTTGGTTCCTTCTTGGTTCAAAGAAAGTGATCCTTCCAAGCTGCAGTTCAACACTACCAACTGTCGTAGTGACACCATGATGGAGAAACAGTCATTCAAGGTAGGTACCTGGTCTAGGGGAAAAGCACATTCAAAGTAGGTCAAATAGTATTGCTATAAAATCTTAGAAAACTTTATTAAAAATATCAAAATGGAAAGCTGTTGTTTCTCAACATATCCATCTGGATCTATACATTTATGAAGGTCTGTTTCCATCTCTCTAATTTTACTTCTCTGAAGAATTCAGGACTCTTCAGTTTATACTATGTTGAAACAACAGTTTTGACATCCTCAAGGGACTCAGATAGTGTTCCTTTTGAATATTATTTAAATTTGGAGAACAAAAATAAGTCTAAAGGGGCAAGATGAGGACTGTAGAGTGAATGCTCTAAAGTTTCCCGAGGAAATTCTCATATAACCCTTGCTACCCTTGGAAAATGAGCAGGTACAATTGTTGTAATAGAAAACAATTCTTAGGCACAACTTTTCTGACCTTTTTCTCACCAATACAGTTTTCAATTTTCTTATAACTTCTTCCTAATAAGCCCCTGTTATCCTGTGTCCTTAGAAAAACTAATCTATCAAGATTAGTTTTTCCAAAAAACAGTTGTCATAATCTTCTGGGCTAATCTCTCTGCCTTGATTTTAACTGGCCCAGCAGACCCCCTCAGAAGACACTATTGTGATCAGAATTTTTTTTGAAGGCACCCAAATGAGACTAAGACAGGTATATGACTGAGTGAACTTGTCTTCAGCCATCCACTGATCAGAGACATGTTTTGACACATTTTATTTGGAATAAACTGGAACCCTAGTAGCAATACTTTTCAGGTCTTGTTTCACACAGAGCTATCAGTGCCTTCTATACCTGAGAAATAAAATAAGGTTCTCTTTGAAACCCTCTTGAGGTTACAGAAAGGAGCCCTGGTGGCACAGAGGTTAAACCCTTGGCTGTTAACTGAAAGGTCAGAGGTTTAAACCCACTAGCCACTTCACAGGAGAAAGATGTGGCAGTCTGCTACTGTGAAGATTTATAGCCTTGGAACCCTATGGGGCAGTTCTACTCTGTCCTATAAAGTCGTTATGAGCCGAACCAACTGAACAGCAATGGGTTTAAGGTTACGAAAAATGTTCCCAGTTATTAATGTTGGAGTGGTGTTCCATTTATTATTGTGTAACAAATCATGCCAAAACTTAGTTGTTTAAGACAATAATATATTATCATCTCCTGATGTGATACCGTAGGAAAACTACTAGACCGCAAGGCTGGGTTAAACTGCAAGGTCAGCAGTTCAAACCCACCAGCTGCTCCTTGGAAACTCTATGCGGAGTCACTATAAGTGGAAACCGACTCAACAGAACTTAACAACAGCAAATATACTCTGTGGGTTGACTGGACCCACCTGGACATGTCTCACTTGGGGGTTTCTCCTACAGTTATAATCAGATGGCAGCTAGGGCTAGATGTCCAAATGACTACGCAGTCTGATATCTCAGCAGGGATGGCTAGAAAAACTGGAAGACGTTCAACATACCTACTTGGGCAGTGTTCAGGTATTTGGATTTCTTACATGGTGGGACATAAAGTATATAAAAGCATCTAACTCACTAACAGACAACAGGGACTTATGGTGACTTTGGGAAAAAGATGAGGCTTTCTACTCCCGTAAAGATTTATAGCCTCGGAAACCCAGGAGTACAAGGTCACTATGAGTTAGAACCGACTTCACAGCATGTAACCACAACCACCACCAATATGATGACTGCCTTAATCCAAAGTTTACAGTTTAAGTCAGCAGGGCAGAAGCTGCAAAGTTTTGTAACCTGACCTTGGAAATCACAAGAATTACTTCTGATGCAGTCTGATAGTTATACAGAGCCAGCCCAAATTCAGTTGAGGAGGGGACTGCATAGAATGTAAATACAGAAAGCCATGTTTCACAGGAAGGCACTTTAGGAGATTAGTAATTATAAACCCACCCATGCACTGCTGTTGAGCCGATTCTAAACCATAGTGACCCTCTATAGGTTGTTTAAGACTAAATCTTTAAAGGAGCAGAAAACTCCATTCTCCTGAAGTCACCCTAAGTCCCTGTTGTTTGTTAGAGAGCTGGTTGCTTTTATGTGCTTCATGTAATTTTCAACATCTGCATAACTGGATGCTATTATCACCACTTAATACCTAAGAAAAATGAGGTTCAGAGAAGTTAAAATCACTTCTCTAAGATCATACTCTAGTATACTGAGATTTTAACTTAAGTTTATAAAACATTACTATCTCTAAAACTGTATCATTTCATGTTTTCCCTCAGGTGCCTCTGGGAAAAGGAAGGCGCTGTGTTGTTCTAGCAGATGGATTCTATGAGTGGCAAAGGTGTCAGGGAACAAACCAGAGACAACCATACTTCATCTACTTCCCCCAAATCAAGACAGAAAAGGTATCAAAGTAACAAAGATCACAGTACATATTTGGAAATAAATTAACCCAAGAAAGGCATTCTTTTCTTTTACAAAGTTGTTGTTTTTTTTAAATAGCAACTCTAGATGTGGAATAAAAGAAAAGAACTGCTTTATTGAGACAGAATTCACCGTTATCTATATGTTAATGTGGGGATTATTGCCATTATATAAAGATAGTAAGTCTTCAAATGCGTGAATACAGGGTATCTTTCTATTTAGGCCTTTACTTTCTTTTAATTATTTTTTTTTAACTTTTTATTTTGAGTTAAGTGAAGGTTTATAGAACAGATCATCACTTTTACATCCTACAAATTAAGCACTTCATTTCATTGTGATTGAAGTCCCCTCAATGTTAAACATCACTTTATTCTACTTCCTGGCTGTGATTCTTGTTTCCACTTCTCCTTTCCCAACCCTTAATGCTGTCCTTTTGATCTCAAATGGTTGACCATTCTATGGTGTGTGTACCTCACTAGTGTTGTTGTTCACCCAATATACCTGTTTGTTGATTGGGTGACACATAGGGAAGGGATGAGTTCAGTTCTAGACTTGAAGAGTGTCTAAGGGCTGTAGTCTAGGGTTTCCACCAGTCTCTAAATGGTATGCCTGGTCTTTTTTATGATTTTGAGTTTTGTTCCACGTTTTTCCCCATTCTATCCTGGACCTTGTAGTGTGATCCCTTTCAGAGGAGTGGGTAATGGTAGCCAGCCACCATTCAGTTCTGGTCTCAGGGTCTTGGAGACTGATATTACTGTGGTCCATTAGTCCATTGGACTAGTTGATTCCAAGCATTTTTAATTTTCATCACTCTTCTTTCCTTTGCACAGGAAGAAACTAATAATTGCACCTTATGTGTCTGCTCTTTAGCTTTCTTTATTCTTTTTCAAAACTTTTTATTGTGAATTAAGAGAAGACTTACAGAGCAGATCATCAGTTTTACATTTAACAAATCACATTCTTCATTTCATTAAAATGACCATAATCCCCTTCATGTACATCGATGAACAATGTTTACCTCTATTCACTTTTTTTTTCTTTTTAATGTTTTATTGTGAATTATGTGATAGTTTACATGGGAGAACATTAGTTTTACAGTCATTCTATCATATATCGTTTCATTGCCATGGTTACAATCCCCTCCATGCATCATCAACCAACCAAAAGGTATACCCTGCAAGCCTGCGCCCCACACCCCCTGGTCGTCAGCACACAGCCCCTCTCCCTCTCTGGATCTAAAGTCCCCAGCTGCTCCATTGCTTCATGTCATCGTCTTTGCCTCCATCTCAGGCATCACTGCTTCTCTGGGTAGGGTCCCACTCTCCGTTTTTCTCCGTTGATGGTCCTAGGGACCTCCGCTTCTAGGCTGAAAAGTTAATCACTCCCCTCCTTCCTGTAAAACATCTATCTTTACATTTCCAACCCTCACAATCAGTCCTGGTAATAATTATTCTCTACTGTATCACAAGAGACCTATGTGCATTTCATTTTCAGCCCTGCCTAGACAGATTGGATACTACTCACTGGAGACTCTACCTTCCTCCACGCCCTCTGGATCTAAGTTCCCTCTTGAAAGCTTGTAAGCCATTCACTTCTTGCCTTTGTAGCCCCCCGACTTCCCCATTTTGGGTAGCCAGTGTCCAAGTTGTCCATGCCTGTCTACTCTGTGTGTGGAGGGTGTGGGAATGATTCTTGCTGTAAGGATTTGTTTCCTCTTTTGAGCTACTGCATCCATAGGTGTAGGTCAAGTTCATCAAATTGTATCAGATTACTCTTTTTTTCCTCTTCTTTCTTCTGGTTGAGCTCTGATCATCCAGTCATTGAAGCCAGCTCAAGTGGGTATTATCTGCAAGTGTGGGTGTTCTTGTGCGTATCCCTTCTCTTCTTATCAGCTGGATGCTTCACTCTCCACTCTAGTCCTCTGTGGCTATGTCACTGACTCTGGGCCCAAGAGTCCCCAGGTCTTGCCATACTACTGGCCAACCAGGTTTCCACCCGGGTTCACAGGAGTCTATTGAACACTGTAGGGCTTAGCTCGCTGCTTCATTGCTGTTTTTCCCTCACTTCCCCTACGAGCGTGGTCACCAATCAGAGCGTTTATTCCCATTTAGTCTTAGTCTTGGAAGAGGGTTTGCACTGAGGACTCATTAGCTTTTAAGATCCCAGTTGCTACTCACCAAAGTATGATATGAGTAGTAAAACCTTTAAATATGTATGGGTATACTTACTTTTCCCCTCACATACCCATTTAGCCTTTGTATTTATCTTTGTATCTACTTAAACATTTCTATTATTGCAGTATTATGCATGCATATAAGTGTTTACCTCTGTTTCCTTTAACTTTTGCCCTCCTCCTCATGTCTTAACCTTCCTTCATCTTTCTTCTGCCAACCTCCCTTTTGTTGTATATTGCCTTTCCTGTGTCCCAAGTTAATAGGTGTGTGGCCTTTAACATGAAATGGAATGCATAAAGATCAATAGCCTAGGCATTAATGAGCTGAAAAGGCCTGGTATTGGCAATTTTGAATCTGACTGATTGGCTTATTATGCTGGGAACAACAAATTCAAGAGGAATGGTATCCCATTCATCATAAAAAAAAAAAATTTTAGAAGTCACTTGAAGTACAATGCTGTCTGTGATAGGATAATATCCATATACCTATAAGGAAGACCAGTTAATACAACTATTATTTGAATTCACATGCCAACCACTAAAGCCAGTGATGATATTGAAGAATCCTGCCAGCTTTTTCCCACCACTCACTTGTCTGTCAGTATGTCATACTGTGGTGGCTTGCATGTTGCTGTGATTCTGGAAGCTGTGTCACTGGTATATTAAATAGCAACAGGGTCACTCATGGTGGACAGGTTTCAGCTGAGCTTCCAGACTACAACAGACGAGGAAGAAAGAGAGACGGACTACTTCTGAATATTTAGTCATTGAAAACCTTATAAATAGCAGTGGAACATTGTCAGCACCAGAATATTGAAGCATGATAAAGAACACCAGAATATTGTCAGATAGAGTGCCAGGAAATGAGCCCCTTGGGTTGGAAGGCACTCAAAATACCATTGTGGAAGAGCTGCTTCCTCAAAGTAGAGTTGACCTTGATGATGCAAATGGAGTAAAGCTTTCAGGACCTTCATTTGCTGATGGGGCACAACTCAAAAGTGAGGAGAAACTGCAGTAAACATCCATTAATAATCAGAAAATGGAATGTACAAAGTATGAATTTAGGAAAATTGTAAGTAGTCAAGAATGAAATGGCTCAGGTACATACACACAATGGAATATTATGCTACCTAGAAGAATAACAAGCTACAAGCCACCACATAGCATGGATGAACCTTGAGGACATTATGTTGAGTGAAATTAGTCACAAAAGAACAAATATTGCATAAGACCATTGTTGTAAAAGCTTAAGAAAAGATACCCATACTAAAAGGATAAAAGGGGAAAAAAAATTCCTTGTTATCAGGGGTGGGAGAGAGGGGACGGTGGTTAGAGCACAGGGTAGGGGATAGACACATCATAGTGGTGTTGAGGAGGGCAATGTACAAGAAGAGGGAGGGGGATGGAAGAACAAGGTAGGTAGGGAAACACTTAGGCAGGTTTGCACGTGCTAAATGGGACAGAGGTAAATAGTGATGTATGCTAAAAAGAAAAAAATGGAGTGAATAAACATCAATATCCTAGGCATTAGTGAACTTAAACGGATTGGTATTGGCCATTTTGAATCTGACAGTCTCATGGTTTACTATGCTGGTAATGACAATCTGAAGAGGAATGGTGACATATTCATCATCAAAAAGAATGTTTCAAGATCTTTCTTGAAGTACATCACTGTCTGTGATAGGATAATATCCATATGCCTCCTAGGAAAACCAGTCAATTCAACTATAATTGACATTTACTTTACGTACCAGTCACTAAAGATAGTGATGATGAAATTGAAGAATTCCATAGACTTCATCAGTCTGAAACTGATCAACATGCAGTCAGGATGTATTAATAACTACTGGTTATTGGAATACAAAGATTAAAAACAAAGAGGAAAGAATGGTAGCTGGAACATATGACCTTGTTTTTGATTTTGAGAAGTTTGGTGTTTTTCTTTTGGGGTCTATCTTGTTTCGAGTTTGTTCAACTTCTTGAATGACTACCTTCTTGTCTTTCATGATGTAGGGAAGTTTTCTTCCAGTAACTCTTTTTTTTTTTTTAATGTTTTAGTGTGAATTATGTGATAGTTTACATGGGAGAACATCAGTCTTACATTCATTCTATCGTATATCGTCTCATTGCCATGGTTACAGTCCCCTCCATGCAGTCCTTCCCCATACCCCCAAGGTCTTCAGCACACAGTCGCTCTCCCTCTCTGGATCTAAAGTCTCCCGCTGCTCTGTCGCTCCGCGTCATCATCTCTGGCTCCATTTCAGGCATCACTGCTTCTCTGGGTAGGGTCCCGCTCTCTGCTCTTCTCCCTTGATGGTCCTAGGGACCTCCGCTCCTAGACTGAAAAGTTAATAATTACCCTCCTTGCTATAAAACATCCACCTTTACATTTCCGACCCTCACAAACAGTCTTGATAACAATTATTCACTATTGTATCACAAGAGACACCTCTGTATTTCATTGTATCAGCTCCGCCTAGTCAGATTGAATACTACTCACTGGAGATTCTACCTTCCTCCAGGCCCTCTGGATCTAGGTTCCCTCTTGAAAGCTTGTAAGCCAGTCACTTCTTGCCTTTGTAGCCCCCCACCCCCCATTTTGGGTAGCCAATGTCCAAGTTGCCTATCCCTGTCTACTCTGTGTGTGGAGGGGGTGGGAATGATTCTTGTTGTAAGGACTTGTTCCCTCTTCTTCCAGTAACTCTTGAACAGTATTCTCTGTAGAGTTTTTTTTTTTGTGTGTCTCTTGCTGTTCTGGAATTCCTATCATGTATAAGTTATTCCTCTTGATAGTGTCCCACATAAATCTTAGACTTTCTTTGGATTTTTTTAATTCTTTTTTTCTTATTGTTCCTCTTACAGATAAGAGATTTTTCTTCAATCTCAGTAATTTGGCTTTCCATTGATTCAGTTTTGTTTCTTTGTCCTTTCAGTATATTATCTATTTCTAAAGTCTTAATGTTAATTTTTTTTTATTTCTAATTGCTGTTTTTGTATGATTCCCATTTTTCCCATTGTTTTGTCAATTTGTTTCTTGATTTTTTTCCATAGTATTGTCTTGAATTCATCAGTTTTCTTGGTCTTTCTTTCAGTCTATTGATATTGCCTAATTAGTATCCTTTTAAATTCCTTAACAGGTAGTTCTGATACCATTTCTGGTGTTAATATTTTCTGACTGTATTTTAGTCACTTGTTTGAGGCACTCTGTCTTGTTTCTTTGTTCAAGCTGAAGTTGTTTTCTCAAAGACATTGTGGTGATGTATTTATGTTTAGATTGTATATTGGTATATTCACAGGCACTCACCATCTATCTCCTGGTAGATGTGATAGAGACCAGAAAAGTGAATGCTGTTAGTTCTTTGTTTACTACACTTTTTGTTGTAGTGTAGTTCAGGGTGGTGTCAAGAGCCTACAGAAGCAGGGATACTATTCCCGTACCTGACCCCAGGCAGAGGAGGGGCTGCACAGGAGGACTCCCTGGACAGGCCCCATCTACCAGGAGGGCACAGAAACAAGGGAGAAGCATTCCCCCTTGCAACTAGCCTCCAGCTTTGTCCTGTGCCCACAGGCTGCTGTATCAACAGCCACTCACAGACATTCAAGATGACTGTACCACTCCACGCTGTCCTAGGGTCGGACCATTTTTCTCTTTCACAGTTTCTGTTCAGCTTTCTCTTCCAGTCAGCACTCAGTCTACCTCTTTGTTGTATCCTCTGATGCTCAAGGTTCCAGGATCACCGTCTGTATCAGTTTTACTCAGTCTTCCATATTCACCTCAGTACATTGGATTATATGCCATATTGTCACAGTCTCAATCTCTATACATTTCCCTATTCCTGTGTTTTTATATATAAGTGAGGTCATTCAATATTTGTCCTGTTGTGATTAACTTACTTCACTCTGCATGAGTTTTCAAGCTCCATCCATATTTTAACATTTAGTAAGATTTCATTTTTCCTGCTGGCTGAGTCATATTCCATATGTACCACATTTTGTTTATACATTTATCCACTGATGGGCATTATTCCCACCCTTTAGCTATTGTGAGTATTGCTACAGTGAACATCAGTATACAGGTATCTCTTTGAATCCCTGCTTTCAAGTCTTTTGTGTATATTCCTAGAAGTAGAATTGCTGGGGTTTATGGTAGCATAGTGGGTTATGCATTGAGCTGCTAACTGCAAGATGAGCAGTTCAAATCCACTAGCCGCTCTGTGGGAGGAAGATGAGGCTTTCTATTCCCATAAAGATTTATAACCTTAGTTGGAACTGACTCAACAGCAAATGGCAGCATGGTAGTTCTATTTTTAAGTTTTTTACCACCTACACTGTTTTTCACAACTGAGCCATTTTGATTCCTATCAGCAATAAAGAAGTATTCTGATTTCCTCATATTATCATCAGCATTTGTTATTTTTGTTTTTTTAGTTTGTTTTTAATCTTAGCCATTCTAGTAGAAATAAGTTGGTATCTCACTGTGGATTTGATTTGCATCTGTTTTATAGTGATGATGTTGAGCATCTCATGTGTTGGGTGGCCATTTGAATGTTTTCTTCTGTGGATATCTATCCAAGTCCATTATTTATCTTTTTGTTATTAATTTGTCAAAGTTTTTTATATATTTTGATTATTAAATGCTTATTGGAGTCCTGGTGTGACTCTATAGGATAAGCACTGGACTGCTAACTGCAGGATTGGCAGTTCAAACACACTAATCACTCCTCGGAAACCCTATACAGGGTTGCTGTGTGTCAGAACCAACTCAATAGTACTTAAGAACAGGTTCTTATCAGATATGTTTTCCTTAGATAGTCTTCCTCTTGGCTTTTTTGTTGTTGTTTTTGTTCCCTAACATCATGAAAGACAAGAAGATAAGCATACAAGAAGCTGAAAGAACCTCAAACTGGATAGATCCCAAAAGAAAATCACCAAGACATACCATAATGAAACTTTCCAAAACCAAAAATCAAAGAATCCTGAGAGCAGCTTGGAAGAAATAAAAAATTACGTACAAAGGAGAACCAATAAGACCAAGCTCTGAAAGAAAATGATTGCCAACCAAGAATCACATGCCCAGCAAAGTTGTCCCTCAAATACAATGACAAAATTAGGACATTTCCTAATAAACAGAAATTAAAGACATTTTGCATTAACTGGACCAACTTTACAGAAAATGCTAAAGGGTATTCTTTGGACTGAGAACCAACAACAGCAGATGCAACCTAAGGTTATCACACATGACACCACCACCCAGAACTCAATCCAGATATGCTAGTATTTAAAGTAAAACAAGGAGTCCTGGTGTGGCACTGCAGATGAATACACTGGACCACAAGGTCAGTTTGTATCAAAAAGTTGGTAGTTCAAACTCACTGGCTGCTGCTCGGAAACCCCATTACACTGGTTTGCTATGAGTTGCAACCAACTCAACAGCACTTAAACAATACAACAGATAAGAAAATGAGAAGAAAACCCACAAACAAAATTAACTCAGCTGATAAAATTATGTGGAACAAAGAATCCATCAGTACCACACACACCAAAAAACACACAGAAAAATACCAGTAAATTCATGCCTGTTGATAATTATAATGAATGTAAATGGATTATATGTACTAGTCAAGAAAAATAGCAGAATGGATAAGAAAATGGGATCCTTAAATATGCTGTCTACAGGATACGTATCAAAAAGATGGAGACAGACTAAATGCCCATCAACAGAAGAACGGTTAGACAAATTTTGGTACATACACACAATGGAATACTACAAAACATTGAAGAATCTTGATGAATCTCAGCATGGTTGAACCTGGAAGACATTATGCTGAGTGAAATTACTCAATCACCAATGTTGTAAAAAAGTTTTTGAAGGTTTTCTTGACAAAAGAAATAATCTATGATGGTAAACTGCCAAAGGGAAAATTATTCATGGAGTAGAAGGTTTGTTGTTAATAAGTGCTATCGAGTCAGTTCCGACCCATAGCGACCCTGTATAGGGTTTCCGAGGAGACGCTGGTACACTTGAACCGCTGACCTTGCAGTTTAAAGGTCTTTGCAGTGTGGTGCATTAACCACAGCGCCACACCAGGACTCCAAGCAGAGGGTTGTTGTTGTTAAGTGCCGTCGAGTCAGTTCCAACCCATAGCAACCCTGAACAGTGTTTCCGAGGCTGTAAATCTTTACGGGAGCAGAAAGCCTCATCTTTCTCCTGCGGAACAGCTGGTAGTTTTGAACTGTTGACCTTGTGGTTTGCAGCCCGATTCATACCACTATGCTACCAGAGCTCCTTATAGACAGAGGGTAGACACATGTTAATATGGGTGCCAGCGCAGGCAGTATACAACAAGAGGTCGGTTAGCAGAGGAAAGATGAAGGTAGCAGGAGACACAGGGAGGAATGCAACAGTTAAAGTGAATAGAGGCTAAAAATGTTAACTGTTGGTACATGGAGAGGATTGCATTCACGTAATGAACAAAGTATATGATTTGTTGAATGTTAAACTGATGGTCTGCTCTGTAAACGTTCACTCGATTCATACACACACAAAAAAACTCCAGATGGCGGAGTCACTCCATGCCAATTGATAGCCCTCAAGTTTTTCTTTTCTCTCTTTGCTGTTGTTCAGCTTCCTCTTCCAGTGAACTATCTTCTGAAGTTCAGTGTTCCAGCACCACCACCTGTATCTGTTTCACTTGTTCACCCATGTCTTTGTTGCAGACGGTCTGCTCAGTGTGTCTGCCCACTCCATGATAGGGCTTACTTACTGCCTTTCATCTGGCAGCTAAAGACTTGTCCCTTAGGGATGAAGTGGTCAGACAAAACCTCATACCTCCCCAGAGCAGAGGAACTCTCTTACTCAAACCACCAAAAGACTGCCCTTACCCCAGTCTTTTTGTTATAAGCACCCCAGAAAGGTCTGTGAAGGGCTGTGCATATTCCTCTGATGTCTGCAAACACCAGGGGTTCTGTACTCCCATTGTAACCCACACTGCTGTTAGCAATGCGATGCTTATATTTAGAAGCTTACCTGCTTGTACGGAGTCCCTGTCTTCCCCTTGTTGCACAAGTAAGCCAGTGTTTGCATCCCATCTCTCTTTGGAAGCCCCTGTCTTTCCTTAAATTTCAGGCTAGTTGGTTGCTCTGTGACCTCAGTTCTTTGATAACTTCAACAAAACTGATAATTTCATAGGTGATCTAGGCCTTTTTTGTTGTCACTTAGGTTGGGAGTGAAACTCTTTCCAGCTTTCTATATTTTGAGCCCTTGAATTGAACCTTGAATGGCACGTAGGAGCTAGCGTAGTGAAAAAGGACAGGAAAGACATTTTGAGCAGAGGAATGTGCTCAGACAAGACACAGGGGTAGAAAATTGCATGAATGCTTCATTTACCAATAGCTGGTTTGGGGTCAAATTAACATTGTGAGTGACAGTTGGGAGGAATAGTAGTAGAAGGACCTGATTGTCTGGTGAAGGTGTTAAACTGTATTCTGAAAGTATTGAGAAGCCATGCATATACAGCTTTGGTAGGCATTTTCCACCAAGCTTCTGTTCTTTGGTGATCAAGATTGGTTAATAAGGCATGGGCTGAATTACTTCTGAAATGATTGTCATGTTCTTAAGTCTATCCATAGTACCTGTGTGTAGAAGAGGCTGCTGAATATCTAATTTCTCCATGTGTTTTGCCCTCAGTCAGACAATATTGCTGCTGCAGATAGTCCTGAGGAGCGAGAGAAGGTATGGGACAACTGGAGACTACTGACGATGGCTGGGATCTTTGACTGCTGGGAGCCCCCAGAGGGGGGTGACATCCTGTATTCCTACACTATCATCACAGTGGATTCCTGCAAAGGCCTGAATGACATCCACCACAGGCAAGTCACACTGCTGTTCCTCAGTCCAAAAGAATTCTGAGGAAGGTTATATCCCATTGCTTTTAGATGGGCAGCTTTGGAATTCAAAGTTTCTTTATGCATAAATTTAGAGAGTAGCAAATTACTAAGTTGCTTCACAAGATGCAGTTATACTTGACCCTTGAGCAATGTGGAGTTATTGGTGCTGACCCCTTGTACAGTTGAAATTCCAAGTATAAGTTGGTTTTTAAAAACATTATATAATGAATTAAATGAAGATTTACAGGGCAGATCATCAGTTTTACATTCAACAAATCATATACTTCATTTCAATGATTGCAATCCCCTCCATGTAACATCAGTTATCCCACTTCCTTCTTGTGATTCTTGTTTCCATTCTACCCTCCTTCCCAACCTTTCTAAATTATGTCTTTATGTAAATGCTACCTTTTTTATCTGGAATGGTTGACGATACCTTACTACTGTTGTTGCCTCCTCTATATACTTATCTACTTCTTGAAATCAGTTCAGCCATGAGGGTGAGTTCACTTCTACACCTGAAAGGTGACCGAGTGCTATGGTCTCAGGTTCCAGTCTTTCTGATCAGTACATATGGTCTTTTTTTTTACAATTTTGATCTTGTTCCACATTTTCTCTCACTCTTTTCAAGACCTTCTAATATTATGCCTTTCAGAACAGTTGGTAGTGGTAGCTAGGTACCATCTAGTTCTTCTGGTCTCAAAGTCATAGAGACTGGTGTGCACGTGATCCATGAGTCCATTGAAATAATTGATTCCAAGCATTGTCAATTTGTCAATTTTCATCATTCTTCTTTCCTCCAAACGGGGAGACCAGTAGTTGCACGTTAGTAGGCCGTTTATGAGCTTTTAAGATAACGGATGCTACTTACTAGAGTAGGATATAGAACAGTATGTTTCAGGACCATGTTATGCCAATTGACCATGGTGTCCCCTGAAACTGTGGTCCTGAACCCCCCAGGCCCAGCACCTCATTCCTTCTATGTGCTTAGTAATGTCTAAGCAGTTTCCATTTCATAACCCCTCCTTTTCCCTCTGTATGCTCCCCTACATTTATAGATATGTTACAACAAAGGTAAATATCCATGTACAAATATCCTCTGTCAAACCTTTATGTATCTGTAGGTATACTCCCATACCTGTTCAGCCTGTGTATCTGTTACTGTATATACCCATAGATCACTATTATTGTAGGGTTGTATATATAACAGTATTTGCCTTTATTCCTTTTAACTCTTGCACTCTTTTCTGTGCACATATAACTTTGGACTCCCCCAAAATTTACTAATAGTGGACTCCTGGTGTGGTGCTGTAGGATCAGATCTGGATTGCAAACCACAGAGTGGGCAGTTCAAACCCACCAGCAGCTCCTCAGAAACCTGTATAAGGTCGCTATGAGTCAGAACTGACAAAACGGCACTTAACAACAACAACTGTTGACCATAAGCACATTTTCAAAACGAGATGAAAAGGTATTTACAAAATGTGCAAGCTTTTTATGCCTGCTGGCAGTATAGCTACTGCAATGATTTCATGAATTTCCTTTTCTTTTTAACAATGATCCTTACACTAGATTCATTTATCTTGAAAGGGCAGGCAGTCTACAGTACATACCAAGTGCTGTCTCCTGAGCAATAGGCATGATGGACTCCACATCAGTGACAATGCGGCAAAGCCATAAAAATGGTCCATGACAGTAACAACTTCAAGAAGTACTGCTAGGTCAACAAGATCTAAAGGAGTACAAGAAAGATTGTTTAGCATATGGACTGAATGTCAAATGAGAAAATTGGAATCTTTGTTGTAAAGAGAAAGCACTATCTATATATAAAGACCTTAGAATTGCCTCCTTTAGTGACAGTAGCGACTTGTTGAGTGGTTTCAAACATCACTACATTTTCCAGTGCCATCAGCTGTCAGGCAAAGTAATTGGTACACCAGAATGCACTAGGATCTAGTCATAACACTATCACTATTCATTGTTATTGCACCTGGCTTTCCTAGGGTTGGATCTGGTGCCCTGTCAGGTTGTGCTTAGGGAGCCTCCATGGCAGCAGTCAGCCTGTAATGCACAGAGGGGGACTGTCCCTTGTGATGATCTGAGCTAGTAGTAGACTCATGTTTCTCTTCCTTCTCTCCCTACCCTCACTCACCTCTTCTAACTAATATCATGACCACTCTGCTAGGATGCCTGCCATATTAGATGGAGATGAGGCAGTCTCAAAATGGCTTAACTTTGGTGAGGTCTCAACTCAAGAAGCTTTGAAGTTAATCCACCCCACAGATAACATCACCTTCCATCCAGTCTCCCTCGTGGTGAACAACTCCCGTAACAACACTCCTGAGTGCCTGGCTCCTGTTGACTTTCTTGTCAAAAAGGTAAGAACCTGTGACCATTAGTCTCTTTTCTAAACTCTCTTTCTGTCACTAAGGCCTTCTTAACCTTTCCCAAATGCTTGAGCAGGGTGATCTCAGTATTGTCCTCCTTTTTCCTAGGAGCTAAAGGTAAATGGCAGCAGCCAGAGAATGTGGCAGTGGCTAGCCACAAAGTCACCCAAAAAGGAAGATTCCAAAACTGCCCAGAAGGAAGAGTCAAATGTGCCTCAGTGGTCTAGCCAGTTTCTGCAGAAGAGCCCTCTCCCTGCCAAGAGAGGCAGCGCAGGACTTATGGAGAGATGGCTGAAGCAGGCCAAGGAAGAGGAACCCCCAGCTAAGCAGCCTCACTGTCAATAATTGACATCAGTTTGCTGCACTCTATACTGCTGCTAATAGTTCCTTTATATTATGCGTGTGTGTCAGGGGCTTAAATAAGTTTGTTTTTTCACTGTATAAATTATATTTGATAGCTGTATTTTAGAAAATGATGCTGGTGGGGGAGTTCTAGATTCTACCCACTTTTCTCTTGGTTTCAGTTCTAAGGAATGGGTTTTGTCACAAACATATGAGCACTGGGACTTTCTGTGGATACTACTTTTTTGGAAAACAGTAAAAAGGCTTAGACACCTTGTTGCATGTCTTTTCACATAATGATTGCAAATCTAAATCATTTCGCTTGAAACCAACTTGAGTGAATGCCTGTCTTATCCAGGACTCGGAGAGGACCTAAGACCCTCTCCTTAGCACAGAGAGCCTTGGTCTTGTCTAAGCCCACTTGTTCCCATGCACAGACTCCAACATTGGATAGAGCAAGGCACAGGATGCCTTGCAGGTGGGACTGGAGATTTCATGCTAAGGGGTGGAAATGAAGCTGTCTAGGGTAACCCCCTACCTGCCCCACCCCTGTGCTGGGTGGGCTCTGCAGGCTGCATCACTTTATAATTAGATACCATTTTGGTTATCTCCCTACCCAGATTATTAATTATATGACAGCAGGGACCTATATTTCTGTCTTCCCAATGTCAATAAATAAGGAGCTCTGGTAGCTTAGTGGTTACCAATCGGACTGCGAACCGCAAGGTCAGCAGTTTGAAACTACCAGCCGCACTGCAGGAGAAAGATGCGTTCTGCTTCTGTAAAGATTTACAGCCTCGGAAACCCTGTACAGAGTCGCTATGAGTCGGAACTGACTCCAGGGCACATAACACCAACAACAAATGTCAATAAAGAGTAGGAATGCCATTTGTATTTAATGTACATGCCTGTGGTACAGTTGGGGAAGGCCAGTCAACCAGAGATCGATCACACCTGCTGAGGATGGGATGCTCCTGTAAAACCGGAGGGAAGTTGTCAGGTGCAGAGCAGCAGAGTGGAGTGAGCACAGGGACTGTGTGTGTGAACTCCCTGATCCTACCAGATACTCAGATGTGGGAAAGGATGGAAGAATGTCAGAGAGCGACAGGGCCTGGCTCGCTTCTTCCTCTTTAGGGCGGCTAGGAGGAAAGAACCCACAAACTGCTGCCCTAGAACGCAGACCACCCCAGTAACCCAGGAGAACACGGGGGCTGTCAGACTTAATGTGTGGTTCCAGCCGCCGCGCAGACCCCACCTTCTGTGGGCTCGGGCTGAGGCCTTATGCAAATAAGGGATCGGAATTTCCGCCAATCGGAGGGGAGCTCCGAGACTGAGTTGCAAACCGAGGTCGGGCGACTCCTGGTGCTGCACGCCTCCAGTTGGCTTCCGCGGGCGGGGAGCAGGGGGACGCGTGGCCAGCAGAGGATCTCCCAGCCCCCTGCTCCCATTTCCTGCCTCCACCACCTTGTTTTTCTTCAATTCCTTTTTTTGAGTGCCTTCCCTTCCGGTTGAGGAAGCAGGATTGGCGGGTGAGGTTTGCTCAGTACCCGCCATTCACTGGGAAAAGCGGTGCGTTTGTGCTTGTGGTTTCTGCGCTTTTGGGGAGTTTGGTTGTTTTGCTTTACTAAGACTCTTTTAAAATATAATAATAGATCTGAATTTGCACTGTGTGACTATTTTGTCATATTTGCTTTAAGTTTAATGAACAAATCCAAAGTGAAAAACCCTTTTTCAGTTCTACCTCACCATTGCTTTTCATACTTGCAAATAAATTTGTGGAGTCATTTAATCGTAAATGAAAAAATATATTTAAAATGCCTGCATCCTCATTTAGGATTTTATATTTTCACATAAATGTGATGTCAAAAACACATGCTGGTATCTGAGAACATGGGAGTTTCAGGTATGCATCATCTTGGGCAATTCATTCTGCAACTTGATTTTTCTATCCGGGTCATCAGGGAAATATATCTTCAGCTTTATTTGTTGTTAGTGGTGTCCGTGAGTTGGTTCTGACTCAAATACAAAAGAAAGAAACACTGTCTAGTCCTGTGCCATCCTTACAATCATTGCTTTGTGTTGCAACCACTGTGTTAGTCCAATTTTTGAGGGTCTTCCCCTTCTTTGCCTGCATGATGTCCTTCAGGCACTGTGTGTGGGACCAAGTTTCGCCATCCTCTCTTCCAAAAAACATTCTGGCTGTACTTCTTCCAAGACAGATTTGTTAATTCTTCTGGCAGCCATGGTATAGTCAACATTCTTCAACAATATAATGAAAAGGAATCAATTCTTAGGTTTTCCTTATTCACTGTCCAGTTTTAGCATGCATATGAGGCAATTGAAAATACCATTGCTTGAGATAGGCACACCTTAGTCTTCAAAGTGACATCTTTGTATTTTAATACTTTAAAGAGGTCTCTGACAACAGATTTGCTCAATGTAACATCATTTGATTTCTTTACTGCTGCTTCCATGGGTGTTGATTATGGATCCAAGTAAAATGAAACCTTTGATAACTTCAATTTTTTTTCCCATTTGTTATGATACTGCTCATTGGTCCAATTGTGAGGATTTCTGCTATCTTTATGTTGAGGTATAAGCCATATTTTGATCTTCATAAGCAAGTGCTTCAAGTTCTCTTAATTTACAGCAAGCAACTTTGTGTCATCTACAAACCACAGGTTGTTTATGAACCTTCCTCCAATCATCATATAGTCCAGCTTCTCAGATTATTTGCTGAACATATAGATTGGATACGCATAGTAAAAGGATGCAACTCCGACACCCATCTTTCCTGATTTTAATCCATGCAGTATCCCCTTTTTCTGGTCTTGGTCTAGGTCTAGTTTCCACAGGAACACAATGAACTGTTCTGGAATACCCATTCTTCGAAATGTTACTCGTAATTTGTTATGATCCACAATATTAAATGCTTTTGCATAGTCAATAAAGCATGTTTCTGGTGTTCTCTGCTTTCAGCCAAAATACATACGACTTCAGCAGTGATACACCCCTTCTGCCATGTCCACTTCTGAATTCAGCTTGAGTTTCTGGAAGTTCCCTGTTGGTACTGCTGCAACTGTTTTTAATTTATTTCAGAGAAATTTATATGTGTGTGATATTACTAGTGTTTGATAATTTCTGCATTCTGTTGGATCATCTTTCTGTGGACTGGGTACAGATATTGAACTCTTTCCATCTGTTGGCCAGATTTCTTAGTATATATGCGTGAGCATTTCCAGTATTACATCTGTTTGTTGAAACATCTGAGTTGATGTTTTGCCACTTGCTGGAGTCTTTTTTTCCCATCAGTGCCTTTGCAGCTTAGACTTCATCCTTCAGTACCATTGGTTCTTTATCATATATTACCTTCTAAAATGGTTGAAGGTTAACATTATTTTTAGTACAGTGACTTTGTATTCCTTCTGTCTTCTTTTGATGCTTCCTGCATCATTCAGTATCTTGCCCATAAAATCCTTCAATATTTAAACTCAAGGTGTGAATTTTTTCTTCAATTCTTTCAGCTTGGGAAATGTCAAGCATATTCTTCCCTTTTGATTTCTTAACTCCATTTCTGTACATTTCATTATCATTCATCTTCTTGAGCTGCCCTTTACAATCTTTTTACTTGAATGTCATTTTTTCTGTTCTCTTTATTACTCTATGTTCAAGAGCAAGTTTTGGAATTTCTGCTGACATCCATATTTTGCTTTTTTTTTTTTCTTGTCTTTTTAATGACCTTTTGCTTTCTTCACATTTGATGTCATTCCCACAACTTGTCTAGTCTTCAGGTTTTAGTGTTCACAGTGTCAAATCTATTCTTGAGATGGCCTCTAAATTCAGCTTCACTGTTGTTGTTGTTAAGTGCCGTCGAGTCGATTCTGATCAAGTCGATTATGATCCATAGCGACCCTGTATAGGATTTCTCAGGAGCAGTTGGTGAACTTGAACCACTGACCTTGCAGTTCAAACGGCTTTGCAGTCTGGCACATTAACCCACAGCACCACAAGCTAAATTGTCCTCCACTTTCTCCTTACTAGAGCATTAAAGCATCTTCTGCCCTGTGTTTTTAACTGCCTAAATCTAATTAATAAACAGAGATACCTCCCTGGCCTGTCTGACACTGGCATTTCCTCTGTTGGTTATGTCAGGTCAAGCCAGGACCTCAATTGTTTTTTGCAGCAGGTAGAGCAGCCCTAGGATGTGGCTGCCCAGCCCCTCCAGTGAGTACCAAGATACAGCCCTTGCCCATCCTGCTGCAATCAGCTTTGGCTCCAGGCCTTAAAGGATTCTCTCTTGTTCTGCAGCCTTCCAGAGGTACCTCTGGTCAGAATAGAAAGGTGCCCACCCCGTCTGCTATCTGGAGTCTACCTGGACCTAACACTTCCTTGCAAAACTTGTGTGCTGAAAACCAGTCCCACTTTGTACAGAAGTAGAAACAGACTAGGCAAGGGAGGGATGTGGCCAAGAGCACACAGCTTGTACCAGATAAATTGAAGACAAATCCAAGGGGCTTCTGGACTGGGAAGGGTGTCTCAGCTTGAATTTGGACAAGAGCCTACTTGCTGCTGGGAAGAGATGTGTTAGAGTGGGAAAGAGAGACAGTGAGGGCTATTTCAGACTCCCAGATTCTCACCTGGGCCTGCCCTAGACCAACCTGCACCCCCTTACCCTTTTCATCCAGAGTGAGGAGTATGTGGCTAGAAAGGCGGAAACCATTCTTTGGAAAGAGACACTTTGATTCAGGCTGTATGGGAAGGTCCCAGAGAAGCAAACTTCTAACCAAATCCTCTGCACCCCTACCCCCCAGGACTTGATTTGCCAAGTTCTGAATTAGGAGGACAGGTACTCACAATTGAACTCCCAGGAACACAGCAGCAGAGACACTGAACGTTGGGAGAGGCCCAGAACCTCTGGATTGGGTGTCCCTCCTGCAAAGATATTTAAGGATCCCCCAGTATTCAGTGAATCTGGGAAGAGAGGCAGGCTGCAGACTCCACAG